AGTATCTCGTACGTACGACTTATTATCTCGTACGTACGACTTAAGCATTCCTAGCTAACGTTTAAAATTATCTTTAATGAAAATGTTACCTAGAAGACCAACGAAAAGTTAACCAGCTCTGTGTTCCAAATCGCACAATCGGTTTCTTTCAGTTTTGTGGTAAATGCAATGATAATGTTAAACTACTCTTTCAATAGTAGTTTTGTGGTAGTAAGTTGGTGATTTAACAGGTGGTAGGACGAATAACCCGTACGTGACGTGTCTCTGTTACGCGCCACGTCATCGTCACGGTTGAATGAAAACCTTTCAAGGCCCTCTTTGTTAAGACGTTCGATCGGGGGGGGGGGGGGGGGGGTTGCAGCGGCTGCACACCAAGCTGTTGTTGTCTTTTTCCTTATCTTGGCAACGTAAAAGCTAGATCCCATGGAACTTCCGTCAGCTATAAGACTGCTAGAAATGCATTTCATCTACAAATACTGTGTATGCTTCAAATGTATCAAATGATACAAAAAGATCGTTGTCAAACTTGTCCTCATCAAGTTGCACGTGTTTTTGGTTTTCAGCACTTTTCTGACGGGACGTCATATACTTCACGGTTGAGTAAATCTATTCGCTAATTTTAGTGCATAGTATCAAAGATTCTCATCTGACCAATTTTTATGCTTTTTGGTCATGTGGTTAAAAAAATTCACATATAATGTTACCCTGCGTTTCAAATTTTTTAAATAAAGATACAAAATGATACAAAAATAATTTTTTGATCGTTTACTGAAATAGAAAAAAAAAAATACTTTTTTACGGATTTTTGGCTCAAATCTGTACATACTCAGATTGGAAGCCGATAAAAGCTAACATATTTATAGTTTGTTTGAAAAATTAATTCATATTTATTTGATATATTTAGGAACTGTAGTCCCTTATTATTAGCTCACCTGAGCCGAAGGCTCAAGTGAGCTTTTCTGATCAAAATTTGTCCGTTGTCTGTACTTGTCGTCGTCGTTGGTGTTGTCGGCGTCGTCGTTACGGGCGCGGATCCAGAAATTTTTTCCAGGGGGGGTCCACCCAAGTCTTAAAAAAAAATCCAATCCCCAAAATTTCTTGACAAGCAAAAAAAAAAAAAAACCTTAACTCGCCGAAACGTCAAAAACCTATTTCGTGGGGGGGGGGGGGGGGGGGGGGGGGGGGGGTAGTGGTGACTTCTACCGCCTCAAATCTTTCAATTTTCATACCCATTTCATACATATTCGCGTTTACCAGGGGGGGTTCAGCGTTTTCCAGGGGGGGGGGGTCCATAGTAACTTTTTTCTAGTTTTAGTATATACATTTTTTAACCTGGTAAAGGTCCTGACCCCCCCGACCCCCCCTCTAGATCCGCGCATGCGTTAACTTTTCACATTTTCGACTTCTTCTCAAGAGCCACTGGGCCAATTTCAACCAAACGTGGCACAAAGTATTCTTAGTTGAAGGGAATTCAAGTTTATTCAAATAAAGGATCACGCCCTTATTCAAGGGGAGATAATTAAGAAATAGTGAATATTTGGTGGTATGTTCTAGAAATCTTCTTCTCAAGAACCACTGTGCCAGGAAAAATGAAACTTATATGGAATTATCCTCGGGTAGTGTAGATTCAAGTGGCCACAATGGCTGATCAAAGTTTTACATAAAATATATATAGGGAAAATGTTGAAAGATCTTTTTCTCCAGAATCACTGGGCCAGGAAAGACGAAACTCATGTGGAAGCATCCTCAGGTAATGTAGATTCAAGTTTGTTTTTTTTATATCGTGACCCCGGAGGATAGGGCGGGGCCAAAATGACTGATAAAGTTTTATATAGGGATATATAGGATTTTTGAAAATCTTTTCTTGAACCATTGGATCAGGAAAGATGAAAATCATATGGAACTATCCTCAAGAAGTGTAGATTCAAGTTCGTTCAAATCATGACCCCCGGGGGTAGGGCGGGGCCACAATGGCTGATCAAAGTTTTACATAGAAATATATAGGAAAAATATTTAAAAATATTTTACTTCAAAACTATTGAACCAGGAAAGATGAAAGTCATGTGGAAGCATCCCCAGGTAGTGTAGATTCAAGTTTATTCAAAGCATGACCCCCCCCCCCCGAGGATAGGGAGGGGCTACAATGGCTGATCAAAGTTTTACATAGGAATACATAGGAAAAATCTTTAAAAATCTTCAAGTAATAAACAAAATCAACCCCCCCCCCTCCCCCAAACAAGCAAACTTTTCACCACTGAGCTGATATGTGTTTTTAACTAGCCCATTTGCTAAGGTGAGCGATGTGGTCCGTTGGCCTCTTGTTATTAATTATATTTACACTTGAAAAGTTCTTCAAGTCTTTGATTGTGTAAAAATATTAATTATAACTAAATTCAGTGTTTTATAATAATTTTGAACAGCAGGAAAGAAGATGTTTTCATACGCCAACATTCCGCCAAAAATATAGTCCCTGCAGGTTTTCAAACATAAGACATACAAGTTTGGCTTTCCAGAAAGCCTGAAATGTCATCTCTTTGGTATCAATAATGTCAAAGAAATAAAACAGAAAGGGAGATATTTTAATGCAATGAATATAATATATGGATTATTACACCTGAAGTTCCCAAATGACTTATTCAGCAAACTCCACAGTAAAGTACGCAGTTTCTTTTGGCCGCAGTATATATATGGAAAGCATGGACGTCTGCGAGAGCACCCAAGGCGATTTTTCGTGAAATTTCATTCTAGCGGTCTTTGTGGTTCTGGGTGTTTACAATTTACTTAAATTCAAATACTTTCCTTGAACTATATTTTCTTAACACAATACGGAATTATCAGCAATAATTATCATTCACTTAAAAGCAGCTAATCATTAAAGTTTGACAGGAATTAATTTAATAAATCCAATTACAGACTAAAAAATTAACATAAAATTAGCGTTGACCACTCTTCATTCATTTTTTGCAGAATCTACTTGTAAGCTTGTTCTTTTGTGCGAGAACCAGTTTTCCCTTCCCGTCAACAAATCTATATATAGAAATCACGTCATTGTCAATTCTCGGAGCCTTGTGTGGCTTACCCATTTAATAAGGCATAGTACTGAGGATCAATATATATACGATAGGGCTGTGTATTGAGCCAAAAATTTCGATACGATACAATATTTTTTAAAACGATATGCGATATATTGGATTCTGAAACAAATCCATCAGAAAAGGTTTCTAAATCATTTTATGCATACATTTCATAACAATTAAGTGTTTTATTATCCATTTTAAAGTTCTTGTCTCATTGTCTTTAAAAATAACACTTCAATTAAAACTTTTGATGACAGTAAAATCAACATGTTCAAAAAAACTTCTCTATGTATTTTGTAATAATTATAAAAACTGTGTTATTTGCTTGGAAATTATATAATTATTGAAGGTTTTAATTCAAAAAAGTAAAATATAATCTTTGGTGATTGAAATTCCCATCTTTTAAACAGAATATGAAGAAAAAATGTCTGTCCGATACGTATTGGAAGTTACTTTTCGATACGATATTTTTCTTGAATATCGATACGTATCGATATATCGATATATTGATACAGCCCTAATATACGACACACCGAAACTATAGATATTTAATATGTTGACGGTGCGACCGTTAGATCGAGCGCAAACTCTTCTATTTCTTTTGATTTAGATCGGGCTCGTCAAACCGCACGTGACATTTGGTGCGTGGTGAATCTAGACTCTGACGTCACATGACGTCGTATGTAAGTTACAAATACCAAGGAAAAACTGAACAGTGCTGAAAGTTAATGAAAAAAGTTACGTTTACAATTTATCTTCAATATGTATCCATAATTTAATCAAGGCGAGTAAACTTTTTGTTGAACATTTGCCGTCATTCTCGCGAGAACGCAACTTTGCTAAGTGATGCATTGTGGGTCAAAATTACTGCGGCAAAAAATTCTACAGAATGAATGTGCTGTCGTCCGAATTTTCTCTTCGCCCAAGCGTTGTCGTTAGAGCTCGCAGTTACGAGCGTCTCTTCGCGACGCTCGCTGCGCTCGCTATAAGCATCGTACTTCTTTTCTAAATTTTCCTTGGCTTTCAAATAGGCCTAAACCGAAAGTAGATCACACAGTCCTAAGCTAGTTCTTCTAAAAGAAAACCAGTTTACAGGCTACTTGGAACTCTGTAAAACATCGAGGACTCCCGAAAGATTAATGGAGGCTTACACTAGGACTTCACTTCCGGCATACAATCTTAATGTGTCATCTCCCGAGGGAGATGACAATAAGCAAATGTACTTTGAATATTTCATCTAGTCAGAAACCAGAGAAGAATCATACCTGAAGGTATTCAATATATAATGAAGGGATTTTGAACTAATTTGAATAATTTTAAAGTAGTTAACACATACTACTAGATAACGATAAAAATTATATGAACCAAATTCACAAGACTGATGGATGCACATGAAAAGTTTTTGAAGAGTTATCTGTCCTTGAAGAAAAGAAGAAAATTTTTGATTTCTCAAAATTTCTGCGGTAAATAATTAGTCCCCTACCAGTGAAACCGGATGGGGACTTAGGTTTCCTCTGCATCTGTCCGTCCGTCTGTCTGTCCCTCTGTCCTTCTTGGTTTTCCGCATTTCTTTCTAAACGCTTGTTTAGTTATTTCATAGTTTAATAAACAGGGAGTTTATGCATATGTTCACCAAGAGATTTGTTTCAAATTACTTTTTTACAATATCTGATAAAAACATGCGCTGCCCATAGACTTCAATGTAAAAAGATACAGATAATTGAACAATAATCATTTTTTTTAATTCCTTCGGTGGAGCATTTTTATCTGATAACATCTTCAAAATGCTACCATGGTTAGATAATTGCATCATTAATTTATAACGTACAAAATATGGTCGTTATACGAAAGCCCAGAAGGCTGATTCGAGATTCAAGTTTCGAAATACATTGAATACCTTAAAGTAAGTGTAAAGTTCCTTACCTCCTTGCACTTGACATATTGTCATGTAGATAACGAAGAACAAATGTATTACAACCTTCACCATCATGGAAAAAAATTCAACATTTGACAATTCAATTTATAACTTATGCCGTATTGAATGAAGTTACGAAATAAAGACATGTATTTATACACAAACTGTGAGTACATACTTACAACCACTTAATCTTCTTCGAATCGAAATTTTACTACGGGAAATTTTTACTTCTTAAAAACGGAACATTCTAGAAATTTGACCTAAAATTTTAAGATATGAAAAAATGAATGTCTTTCAAGGGTTTCTAAGTAAAATTTGATTATGTAGAATTTCCAGGGGTTTTTGTCTTCATACTCACTTATGATGTAATTCCTTCTATGAAACCACTTTTATACCTGTGGATTAACAAATTAGATTTTTCGACCCCCATTTTTATACCCACCCCAAGGTTTTAATTAAAAATCCTAAACCTTATATTGCACGTCTGTGGGCTCCAGCTATCATCCTTCTATTGCATAAAATGTTAGAGAAGTTTTGGAACCAGGATTTTTTTTTTTTTGAAAAACATCATTTTCGACCCGTATTTAACCGGTAGGTGAAAAATGTGAATTCCAAAAGTTTCTTGTATTTAGATATATCGACGACGTATTGTCAATTAACAATGGTAATTTCTATTCCTACGTCGATACGATACATGTATATCCTTGTGAGCTTGAGATAAAAGATAACACAAAGTATTTTACTTGAAAAAGACGTTAATGGTAATCTAACACCCAAGCTATATGATAAACATGATAACTTTAACTTTTCTATCGTCAACTTCCCTTATATATGCAGCAATATATGCTGCATTTATACGGAGTGAATATCTGCATTTATACGGAGTGAATATACTTGATATCTCAACTGATTCGATACGCAAGAGCTTGCTGTATGAACAATTTCTAAAACGAGATAAATTATTGACAAGCAAGTTGATGAAACACGAATATCAGCCGTCTCGTTTAAAGCATCATTTCGTAAGTTCTATGGCCGATACAATGACCTTGTCAGCAAACACAATTTATCATTGGGATGCTCACTCCTCCATGGCACCTGATCCCACCTCTGATGTTTCGGAGGTCCGTGTTTGCTCTGCGCTTATTTTGTATTGTTTTATGGACTTTGAGATTGAATACTGTTCGTTATCCATATCCTTCTACATCTACAGGACACCCCGAATCATCTTCCAAAAGATTTGAATCAGGGTCCCAAATGCGTGTGATTAAAAGCTTATTTTAATTACAGAAAAAACGGTTCTATATTTTTTTTTTCTCAGGAACCATGGTTATGGAAGTATTGAATCGTCAAGTTTTAAGTTTGTTCAAATCATGACCCAAGTGGATAGAATGGGACCACTTAAGAAATTATATTCTTATAATTGACTGTCAACGAATTAAACTTAATTTACTCATTAAGAATTAGAGAAATATGTAGTTTTATCAAAACGTCAGAAGAAAGATTTGAATTAAAATGACACCTTTTAGTTTCTTTTATACAATTACAGGATAAGCATTTCCTAAGTGTCCGTGTCTTGATGATATTTCACATTTATTGATCTTTAAACCATCTTTTATTGCTAGCGCTCTCGAGCGCTAGCAACTACGTTAGTCCATGTATTACAACCTTCACCATCATGGAAAAAAATTCAACATTTGACAATTCAATTTATAACTTATGCCGTATTGAATGAAGTTACGAAATAAAGACATGTATTTATACACAAACTGTGAGTACATACTTACAACCACTTAATCTTCTTCGAATCGAAATTTTACTACGGGAAATTTTTACTTCTTAAAAACGGAACATTCTAGAAATTTGACCTTAAATTTTAAGATATGAAAAAATGAATGTCTTTCAAGGGTTTCTAAGTAAAATTTGATTATGTAGAATTTCCAGGGGTTTTTGTCTTCATACTCACTTATGATGTAATTCCTTCTATGAAACCACTTTTATACCTGTGGATTAACAAATTAGATTTTTCGACCCCCATTTTTATACCCACCCCAAGGTTTTAATTAAAAATCCTAAACCTTATATTGCACGTCTGTGGGCTCCAGCTATCATCCTTCTATTGCATAAAATGTTAGAGAAGTTTTGGAACCAGGATTTTTTTTTTTTTGAAAAACATCATTTTCGACCCGTATTTAACCGGTAGGTGAAAAATGTGAATTCCAAAAGTTTCTTGTATTTAGATATATCGACGACGTATTGTCAATTAACAATGGTAATTTCTATTCCTACGTCGATACGATACATGTATATCCTTGTGAGCTTGAGATAAAAGATAACACAAAGTATTTTACTTGAAAAAGACGTTAATGGTAATCTAACACCCAAGCTATATGATATACATGATAACTTTAACTTTTCTATCGTCAACTTCCCTTATATATGCAGCAATATATGCTGCATTTATACGGAGTGAATATCTGCATTTATACGGAGTGAATATACTTGATATCTCAACTGATTCGATACGCAAGAGCTTGCTGTATGAACAATTTCTAAAACGAGATAAATTATTGACAAGCAAGTTGATGAAACACGAATATCAGCCGTCTCGTTTAAAGCATCATTTCGTAAGTTCTATGGCCGATACAATGACCTTGTCAGCAAACACAATTTATCATTGGGATGCTCACTCCTCCATGGCACCTGATCCCACCTCTGATGTTTCGGAGGTCCGTGTTTGCTCTGCGCTTATTTTGTATTGTTTTATGGACTTTGAGATTGAATACTGTTCGTTATCCATATCCTTCTACATCTACAGGACACCCCGAATCATCTTCCAAAAGAATTGAATCAGGGTCCCAAATGCGTGTGATTAAAAGCTTATTTTAATTACAGAAAAAACGGTTCTATATTTTTTTTTTCTCAGGAACCATGGTTATGGAAGTATTGAATCGTCAAGTTTTAAGTTTGTTCAAATCATGACCCAAGTGGATAGAATGGGACCACTTAAGAAATTATATTCTTATAATTGACTGTCAACGAATTAAACTTAATTTACTCATTAAGAATTAGAGAAATATGTAGTTTTATCAAAACGTCAGAAGAAAGATTTGAATTAAAATGACACCTTTTAGTTTCTTTTATACAATTACAGGATAAGCATTTCCTAAGTGTCCGTGTCTTGATGATATTTCACATTTATTGATCTTTAAACCATCTTTTATTGCTAGCGCTCTCGAGCGCTAGCAACTACGTTAGTCCAAATATCTTGAATACGCTTGCTCGGCTTCACGGTCGTGCATTCTGGGAAAACTTTGAAAACTACTATAGATAAACCGTACAATAACAATTTCGTTGTATCATGTTGTAGCATTAAATGACTACATGTATGTTTATTTATTGTGTAGCTTACACTTTAAAGATAACTTCATATTTGTAATACTTTGTAAATTTTCCGGGTTTTTTTTTGCTGACGGAAAAGCCCGAATCATTATCTGATTGTTCTAAACATTGACAAAGGAGGTTATTTTTTTATTTTTTGTTTTTTTTTTAAATCTAAGCACAACCATGATTGGTCAATTCAGCCAATCTTACAAATACCAGAAACAGGAATTTACACTAAAAATACCGAATAAATCCATTATTTATTTGGGGAAAAAAATCTGATGTGTACATGGCTTTTAACCTAACATGACCGAAAGGACCTCTTCACATTCGGAACTCTCTGGATTTCTTTATAAAGCATAAAATTTGAGTTATTTTTCCTATATTCCTTTGAACTCCCCTGTATTTTCTTTGCTACATTGCCAAGAAATTCTATAATTCTTAAACCAGCTCATACAATGCCTTTATCGGCATGTTCTCCATATTATATAGTGCCCCCCCCCCCCCCAGGAAAGGTCAAAAATGTCCCATTGCGCCAAAACTCTAATAGACCATGTCCTCACAACCCCCCACCCCTTCGTTTCTTTACCTATTTATCTATAAAATACACTTCATAAAACAATTAAAATAAATTTATCACTCTCCAGCCTCGATAAAAATTAAAGAATCAGCAAAATAAATGACTTGATCACGGATCCTCCGTTCTGTGTTTAAAAATTGCTACGGCGCTAGCTCACCTATCTTTTTTAAAAGATAAACTTGTTTATAATATATTATTTGGATATTACGACAAAATATGAAATCGCGACATAAGGAGTCAACCATTACGTCGCGGGTTCGAATCCCACTGTGGGACGTGGAGACCGAATAAACCGAGGCCCCGTGTCGCAGTAGGTGCTGGCACGAAAAAGACCCCTCCTTGCTCAATGGCCCTGAGTGCCGAGTATAAAACACAATTTGCAGCTCTCCACTGTCAAGTGGTAGTGTCTCCATATGATTGACAACATTCTCGAGAGGGGCGTTAAACAACATACAATCAATCAATCAATCAATACTTGTGGACGGAGAATCAAAATCTATTATACTAATGGGCAGTAAAAATGCACACCAAACTATGCGTGTATCTTATTATAAGTAAATATAGTATTAAGTGTAAAGAATTTCTGTGGACAAAAAAACCACAAATCAAATGGTCATGCAAGTGGTAGATGTTACCGAAAACAGAGGCATTTAAAGGTGCTTGAACACAGATTTGAAGTTAGAATTTTCTGTATGATGTCACAAAAATTAATTAAATATCTTATTTAATTTAAAAATTATTGAAACTTCAAATTTTTTGGCGGGTTTGATTGAACTATCCTTGCACTTTCACATATTTTAATTTATTCTTAATCCTGGGGGGAAAGTGGCAATATTCAGCAAAACACCTTGAACATATTTGTGGCTTCATACAACATTGAAATCAATTCACACTAACTAGTAAAATCCAATGATAAAAAATGAGTAACTTCGTGACCCAGATTAAAACCTAATGTGACACGTGTAAGACGAAATTGTATACCCTATTGAACTATCCAGCAACATATTGAAAACTAAACCAGTGTTTTGTAATTCGCTGTAATAATTTATCTCAAATTATGCACCATGTGTCTTGACGTTATGAAAGTATACTCAGTATTTCATTGCGAGGAAAA